TGAGTTTGTTATTTGTGTACAGAGAGGCTATTGATTTTTTTGTGTTGAATTGGTAACTAGCTACACTACTGAATATGCTTATTAAATCTGGAAGTCTTTGGTGAAGTTTTATGAAACAGCATCAATTATAGCATCAAAAACAAATTGAATAGTCACAAAGTATAAGTACTAATAAAGCAAGTAGAATATCACGTCATCTGCAGATAATGATAGTTTAGCTTCTTCCTTTCCTATTTTTTCTCCTTTTCTTTCTGTTGTCTAATTGTTCTGTCCAAAGTCTCCAGAACTATGTTGATTAACAGTGGAAAAAATGGACATCTTTGTCTTGTCCCTGATTTTAGAGTAAAAGCTTTTAGTTTTGGTCCATTTAATACTTTATTGGCTGTTCATTTGTCATAGATGGCTTTTATCAGATTGAGATAAAGATCATCTATTTCAATTTTTTGTAGGGTTTTTATCATGAACGGTGCTGGACTTTGTCAAAAGCTTTTTCTGCATCTATCATGATGATCATATGATTTTTGTCCTTGGTTCTGTTAATATGGTGTTACATTTATGGGTTTACATATGTTGAAACAACCCTGCATCTCTGGGATGAATCCCACTTGGTCTTGGTGTACAGTCTTCTTGACAATTTGCTACAGTCTGTTTGTCAATATCTTATCGAGCATCAATGTGTATGCATATATGTGTGTGTATATAAAAATAAAAGGATAGTTATACCATTGATTTCTCTGAGCTCACAGAAGATAAAGATTTGTGCTGGTGTTGCTTGGACAACTGGATGCAAGTCTTTTCCTCTGGGTGAATGATTTAGAAATGACAGTGTACAATGTATGTAACATTGTTGCTCTCTGACTGACATATTTTGAGATTTTGTTGTAGATTTTTTCTTTCTTCTTGTTTTTAATTTTTATCCTTGAGATAAAATGGATTTGGGAAAAAAAAGTATCCTAAGGTCTACGAATTTAGCTCAGTGGCACAAGCACCTACTTGGCAAGCACAAGGTTGTGAATTTGATCCCTACTACCAAAAATAAATAAATAAATAAATAAATAAAAATTAAAAAATAAATTCTCTATGATGAATCTGATCTTTATGTATATATGAATTGTATGAATAAGCTTAATTTAAAATTAAAAAAAGAAATATTAAGTGAATGAATGAAACATTCTGAGTGTCACATTTGTGTTTCTGCAAAAATTGTATTTCAAAAATTTAACAAAAAATCAACAGGAATTGCCAAACAAACATGTGGAGGCTATGTGGAGGCTATGTGGAGGATTATGAGGGTGCTACTCTGTAAAGTGAGTATAGAAATCTAGGGGAACTTTCAAAAGGAGAAAAATAGTTTCTTTTTTTTCAAGTACAGGGAGCAGCAGATAGGCTCTGATTAACTCAGTTTCCCCAAACTTCCCCAGAAAGAGATACTGGCCAGAGTGGGTGTGTGTGGGTAGAGGGGATTATTCCTTATTTTACATACTGTGAATATTCCAGGAGAGCACTTCTTGACCCTCTGAGAATCTAGTAAGCTGATAGCTTCCTGGGACTCAATATGCCTACATTTTTAGTTTTGTATATGAAGGATAGAAGACTGATTTATAGAAAAAGGCAGAGGATTTGACAAACAAGAAGAATGGAGGGGACCTATAGCATCTAGTTTCCTTTGATGTAAGGGTCAAGACAGATCCTGAAGCTATGAATTTCACAAGGGAATCGGGGATTTTGGATGTGGCAGGGGTACTGAGGTGCTTTGTGACTGTGGGATGCAGCAGAAGACTGGGTAGGTCAGCATGCAGGTAAGGAGTGGTAATGACTATACTCTGCACTTTGCTGGTGACAGCACTTGCTTAGCAATAGCCAGTAGCAAAGCGCCACTAAGGAAAAGAGGAGGGTTCTGAGAAAGTGCTGCAGTCCTGGAGGCTGGTACAGAGATCTGACAATAACTGAGCTCTGCCTTTAATAATTGGAATCTCTAAGTGGTATAATGCTAGAGGTATTGCTAATGTGGCCTCCTTAGAAAGTCCTCACAAAACACAGAACATTCAGATTAAAATACACATATGTAACAGGCACCGCTCAGAATTAACACTGGTTGCAAATATAGAGTAGTACCTAAGTACTTGACTGTTGACTTGCTAGACTTCTTGATCTTCCTAACCATGTCTCTCCATCCCTTTGAACAGATTCAAGGACTTGATTCCCAGCAAAGCTTTGGTCTCACTCCCACATGTGTGGGAGTCAAAGTTCTACCAATTAGGCCTGTTCTTTTTAACCAAGTCCCATCTTGTTTTCTTGCCCTGCAATGGGTTTATAGTTTTGCAAGAGACTTCACTCTGACCCCAGCGCACAGTTTCTGTGACCAAGTTACCATTGCTTGCTATCAAAGCCCCCAGTACTGTTCACCTCCTGAGTTTCCTTCATGTTATCAGTCATTAAATCTGTTTTCAAGGTTAATGTCAGTCTTCTCTTCTAGAAACTTGGAAAGTACACCCTTCTCTACTTCCTTTAGCCAATGAAATCTGAGTATTAATTATACCAGTCATTTTAAGGGTTGATGGGCCAGTATGTCACTTTCTATTTTGTTTTGGCACTGATCATGGGCAACCTCATAAATCCATAGATTTCTGAATTAGGACAGTGTCCATAGTCTTCCTTGCTAATTTTCATTGGACATGTAGTGTTGATGACACTGTCATTTGACATTTTGATCATAGTATAATGTAACCTATATGATGGGTAAATTTGCTTTACCTGTCCTGTAATTGTCTCATGGTCCTCTATTCTGATTCGCTGTCTAATTGCTTTCCCTTCTCTTCCTTTCATTAGCATTTATAACGTTTGTGTACCAACTACTATTACTTTGTCTCTCTCAATGAGCTCTAATACTACTGAAAGAGTTAAGTTAACTAAAGGAATGAAAAAAGTATTATAGAGATGAATAAAAGTAAACTTGTGATCTTGACTATAATAATTTTTAAATCTTTAAAGAAATATCATGACCTTTCTTAGCAGCTAAACATTGTGCAAAACTTTATGAGATGGAAACAGAGATGAGCTTGGGCAGCTTCCTAAGGTTAGGTAACTTTTAGAATAACATTGAGAATGTATTTTTGCTTGAATAAGGATTTTCATGTGTGTTTCCTTATCACCCAGTCATGCTTTCTCAAGCTATGTGGGTAGAATCACTGGTCTTCTGTTCTTCTGTGGTCTCAGGGAGAGGTAAAAAAACATTCTAATTTCCTACTCTGTCTGCCTTTTCTATGATATACATACTTTTACCACAGCTAAATTCAGATCACCTGTTTGATTATTTAAACTTTTAATAGTTGAACTTGTGAGTTGGTTCCAGTACATCACTGGTAAACCCCACAAGTGATACTTCCTAAATGACAGCTATGAAATGTACTCAGATTTTGTGTATTTTGCACAGTTTTTAATGCCTTGATATTACTATACACTGTCTTCATATACTATAAATGCTTTTTTTTTTTTTTGAGACGGAGTATGACTGTGTTGTTCAGGTGTACTTGAATTTACTATGTGGCCTAGGATGGCCTTGAACTCTCAGCTATCCTCTGGCCTCAGCCTCCTGAGTGCTGGGATTGCACACATGTCTTACAGGCACATCTGGCTATAAATGTCTTATCTAGAATAGGAATCACTATATTATAGGAGCCAGGAGCCAGGAGTTCAATTTTTCTATGCCATGTAACTACTGTATAACTCAGAAAATTTTTTAACTTCAGCAAACCAAAATATTCTATTAGTTAGATGGATATAAACATTTTTCTAACTTTCTGGGGAAGTTGTTATGATAATTGAGCAAGACAGTATATACAAGTCCTTTGAGAACTCTAAAGTGTTATCCAATCCAAATGTGCCTTAATCTTATGTGCTACGTTTCATTTGCTACTTGTAAAATGGTAAGAAATATGTGCTTTCTGAGAATGTAGATAATGCTGGGATTTTTTAGAAATGATCATATTTTGAAAGTAAGCTTGTAGGCTTGTTCAGGAGGTTGAAAGCATCATATAGCAGAATAACATTACGTGTAAATATTTAGATTAGGCTCTGTCTACAAAAGCTATTCAATACCATAATCTTAAATGTAGTATCAACAATTTTCCCAAAGGCATTAGGATATAGCAGTTGGATTCAAAGATGTTTCTCAAACTCAAATCCATCAGTGTATAATAGATGATTTTAAATTGAATGTATCCAAATGGAAAATGCTTGCATATATATATTTTTTTAAAGGAAGGGTTGATTTATTTCTAAACACATAAAACCAAGAAAGTTCTCAGAAACCATAAGATTTCTGATGAAATTTCCCTTAGAATGTCAAATTTGTATGTATAGATGTCACTATTAAAATAATGTATTTACTAATTATTACAGATTAAAAGAAATAAATTGCTTATTTATGTACAAAAAGAAGGAATTATTATGTGCAAGTTCTTGGGTATTGATTCTGTGTGTAGATAGTATGCTGCCCATTGTCATTAAAGATAATCAACAAAATCCCAGTAAAACAAGAAAGAGTGTAAATCAAACTACATCATTAGAGAAACTGTGATTTTTCTTAGGAACTTAACACTTTATATCTCTGTACTATGATTATATAAGAGAACTAGGTATGGTTGGAGAAATTCTAAATAAATCGACACACTTATCTAGGTGGACATAGTTTAAGAGTTGTGTATTCATTGGAGAAAAGATGAATTTGTATCAAAGAATGCTGGATTTGAATTTCTAATCTATTTGCAAGCAGTTTTATTTTCAACAAATTAGTTCCTTGAGTTTTCCATCTACAAATTGTTCATAATAACCTGGACTTGATTGAGTTGTGGAAGGATTAAATATAAACACATAACAGGCAATTAAAATTGTTAATTATCTTTTCATTTTTTCTCTTTCATTCATCACTAACATTTCATGAGATATTTAACTTGTAACCTTCAGTGGGTGGAAGCTGCCACCATCATAGACGATCATACCTCAAAGTTGATGTCTTCCAGATTGGCTGGAACACGGTATGGATTGCTTGCTCTACTGCTTTTGACAGTTTTACATATTCCTCCAGTGAACGAGGTATCAAGGACTTCTCCTCTGTACTCTCCTGACGGAAAATGAAATCTAGAAGCAAAATAATTTTCAAGAATTCAATAGTTGTTGAACGATCTTTTCAAATTTACCTTATTTCTATGAAAGAAATTCCTTTTCCTATATATTTTTGACTTGTGACAAATGGCTGATGGAAAGCCTATTTCTTTCCTACTCCACAGTGAGGCATCCAAAGAGCTTAAGGCCAAAACTAAGGCCTGCTGGTGCTGTAAAGTTGTCCTGTTCCAGTCACTCAATTGTTCTGGGGTTTCAACATAAAATAAAAATTGAGTTTATAATTTGTATGACTTTCACAACAAGTGCAAATTTGAAAGCAGATTATGGGATAAATTATTAAATAATGAATATCACTCTTCATCCACTCCCTTCAGTATAATATATTAAAATAATTCCACTATAGAGCTAATTATGAAATAATAACAGCGTTTTAGTGGAATTATAGTTTTTATTAACTATTAATTATAGTATTTAAAATATATTTTGTTTAGCAAAAGCTTACATATCATTTACTATAGGCAGAACAAAGAAGATACTTTAAAAGAATAAAGTGTTTTGTAATTATTAACTTCAGATACAACTATTATGTCCATTTTACAAATGAGGAAAGTTGAAGCATGTGTAGATTAGTTAGTTTGGCACAAACTAACTGTTTAATAAGTTATTTTATGATAGATGAAAAATTTTGTCAAGGTGCTCATATTTTTCCTGGTTCTTAGATATTATATTTTATGAAAAATATAATTTTTTTGTCAAGAACTTTGATGATTCTGTATTATATAAATGACAAAAATTGCCTTCTATATATTATACCAGAGCCTTTAAAAATATAAATTGTCAGTCTCTGAATGCATTTGATCAGATAATATTGTCTTGCTTAGAACACATCACATAGTTCTAGAGATTGTCATTGGGAAGCTCCTTGTAGCAGAAAGAAAAGCACCTGCCTGACCCTTACCACAGTTTGTAAGTACACCTCTCAGCTGTGATGGTGGCAAGGTGCTCAAAGGAACCCTAAAAATCCTTAAGAGGATCATTTGTTACCTATATATCTGCTTTTCTTATAATTCTATATTATTAACTCAAAAAGAGAAAATGTACTTAAAAGCTTTTACCCCTACCAGAGGATGCAGCATTACCTCCCATACCTCCCACACAGGTGAGAGCAAAACTAACGGACTTGTCTGTGTGAGAGGACACCGAGATATAGTTCACTAGTTCACTAGGTGGGAGTTTTGAGATCTGGTCTTAGGCATCTGAATTTAAAGTAGAAAATTCAATCAATTATTAGGTAGTTATTCTAGACAACTGACATAACATCATTCTATCAAAAAGAGCAAGGAGAATTTGAAAGTTGTGAAATAATATTAGAACATTAAAAATAAATTATTCACATTTATAGATCTCTGTGAATTCTCTATCAATATGATTGTATTAATGTAAAAATGCACAAACATCCATATACAGTTTTTAAAGCTTATGAAATTGTTCTTCACTTGAAAAATGGAGATAATATTTGCTTCCTTAGGGTAGATGTAGGAATTAATCATGATTAATCCAGTTTTAGTCTGTTAGCCAGCTGTAAGATTAATTGATAAATATTAGTTTTAGCAATTTGTTGATGGAGAAGAGGAACCTAAAGTTCAGCAAATAAGTTACATGTTTAATTCAGGAATGCTATCCCTGGTGGTGATATATACCTGTAAACTCTAGAGACTAAGGTAGGAGTGTCCCAGTGAGTTCAAGGTTAGTCTCAGCTACATAAGAGAGTTCAAGATCAGCCTGAACTACATAATTAAACCCTGTCTCAAACAAACCAAATTAATTAGTTAAGTAGTTCGAGTGCTTACTTGAGGATTCAAGATCAAGAGACAAAAATCTACAGGATTTTGAATGCAAATCAAAATCACAAAGAAATATTTTATTATCCAATTAGAATGACTATTAGCAAACACAAAAAAATGCTGGAAAGGATACAGAGAATGGGGAGCTTTCATGCACTGTTGCTAGAAATATAAATTAGTGTGACAGTAATGGGAAACAGTATGGAGAGTCCAGAAAATATTACACATACTACAGTAATCACACCACTGTGCATATATCCAAAGGACCTAAAATCAGTATGATAAAGAGATATTTGCACTTACATGTTTATTGCAGATCTGTTTGCAGTAGCTATGATAGAGAATCAGCATAAGAGTTTATTGAAAGATAAATGGACCCAGACCATGTTGTATGTATACACAGTAGGATGTTACTTAGCTGTAAAAGAAAACGATATTCTGCCATTTGTAGAACCATGGGAGGAAAGGGAGGATGTTTGTAAGTGAAGACACAGCCACAAAAAGACAAGCATGACAGGTTCTCACTTATACATGGAAGCCATGGTTGTTCTCGGAAGTAGAGAATACAACAATGGCTGCCAGAGCCTAGAGGAAGTGTGGAGCAGGACGGAAGGATGGAGAGAGGAAAGTTAATGAGCACAGGGATGCAGTTTTAGAAAAGGAATAACTTCTAATGTTCTAGACAGTGGAGTAACTATGGTTGGTAATAATTAATTTAATACTTCAAAGAGCTGGCAGGGAGTAATTTGAGTGTTCTAAACACAAAGAAATGATGTATGTCTGAGACGATAGTTATGTTAATTGCCTGTTCTGCTTATCTGTCTTAAGATTTTTCTAATAAAATATATGCATGTATTGAAATACCTCACAATGCCCTCACAAATATGCATAATTACATACTAATTAAAACATACTAAACGTTTTAAAGTTGAGTTTTAAAAAATTAAATATATTTCCACACAATATCAATGAACATCCCCCAAATAAAATTAAGATAATTTCATTTAAAACAAGATCTAAAGAAATAAAACCCTCAATAATATGTTTTAAAGTAGTTTTAAAAGATTCATAGCAGGGTATTAAATAAAATTTCAATACAGAGAAGCAAGTCCCATATTTATGTTTTAGAAGTTTATATCATTAAGATGGTAGTAATTCCTAAATTGATCTATAAATTCTGAACAATTTCTATCAAAATTCAATATGTTTTCTCTGTAATAATTGGCAAGATGAAACTAAGACTCACTTTAAAATACAGAGATACAGAATACTCAACTCAAAAATAATCTAGAAAAAAAGGATAAGTTGGAAGAACAACATTTCTGGATATAAACTTTAAAACCAAGGTTATAAAAAATACAGTGTGATTATTACTTTAAGACAAGATAACCAGAGACAAATTAAGAGTTCAGAGGGGGTGGGGTGTGGACACATTTGTAGTCAATTCATCTTTGTCAAGGCTTACTTTTAGAAATCAATAATTGAAACAAATTACTCAATTAAAATGTGGGCAAAGAATTTAAATAGCTGAATAGATATTTCTCCAGTGAAGTTTTTCAAGTAATTCAGAAGTACATAAAAAGATGGTCAACAGTTGTTTGGGAAACACAAAACCACTTGAGATATTACACTGGCTTTAATAAAACAAATGGGGAAAACCACGGGTTAGTGAAGATGTGGAGCAACTGATTTTCAGTCAGACATGACTGAAAAGAATACAAAATGGTGCAGACATTTGGAAATTTAGATATAAATTTTTGCATTGAGGAAGTTGTTGAAAATGCTCTAACCTTAGATTGTGATGATAGTTACACAGAAAACACAAAAACTATTGAATTGTATACTTTAAACAATTGAATTGTATGGGTGTACATTGTATCTCAATACAATTTTTTAAAGGAATTACATTGTGGGTTCTCAAAGATGCATAACCAACTCAAATAACTGCAAGTGCAAAGTATTTTATTCATACTTGAATTTGTATCAGTGGGTATTTCGGAAAAGTATGAAAAACTGAGCTAAGAAGAACTGTCCAAAATACTCAACATGGCAAACACAGGTATGATGAGATTCATTTATCTGCATTTTCTAAATGAGGAGAGTTCCATGAAGAGAAAAGAGCATTTTATCTTATGCAGCCTTATGCTACATAGTTACGGTTTTGCCTACAACCAGAAAAGGCTTGAGAAGAAGGGTTTCTAGGTTATTAGGAATCAGTGAAGGTAGTAGCAGCTTTCAGAAGCTTTAAAGAGAGGATTTTTATGAAGGTGAGTCCCTGGGATCACGACTGTGGAATCTTTTCAGAGTTAAGCCATTTATGTAGCAGTTTTTGACTCTAATCTTTTCCCTCTCCTCTGAAATGTTTAGATTGACTTTAAATAACCTCATTTCAAATACATAGTGACATTTAATAGTTCAGCTTTCTAAAGTGCTTTTATCTGATTTTCTTTATGTGTCATACTTTGTAACAGATTTTTTTTTCATTTATCCTGTGCTAGTTACAGAATCTGAGGGCTTGCACCTGCTTGGCAAGCATTCTACCACTAATTAAAAATATGCACTAAAATATACATATGTTTGTGTATGCATATGTGTGCATGTGCAATTATATTTGTACACTGACTGATACAGATAGAAAACAAACAGCATAATGGTTTGACTATTATTTTAAAGATAGGACCTGATGTCTGAGGTTAACAATGTAGGAATTGGATATGTCTGGTCAGAATGTTTTATGGAGACGTGGCATTTAAGGCAAAAAAGAACAATCACCTGGGAAGCTACCATTTGTGGGTATAAACGTGTTAGGAGGAAGAGTGGAAAAGACAGAGTTACTAAAGTCATCAGATTAAAAATAAATTATGGTAAACAACTTGAGATTTTTAGTCCTTAGAAACGCAAGGAGAAGACAGGTTGTCCCTGAGCCAGCAGCTTTTGCTCATTTCTGAGAATTCTTGGGACAATAGCTGTGGTTGGCAGAAGACCTCTTAGTCCTTTTGCCAAAGTACACATAGCATGTGGTCCTTTCCATCTGTGATTGTAGAGCCCAAGCCAAGGAGACAAGAGATGAGTTTGTAATGTCACCCTTCATCAATCAGAACATTAGAAAATGTGATTATCAGTGGGAGTGTTTGGCTAAAGTTTTCTTCCAGGAAAAGAAAAAGAAAACCAATTAAACACACTGATGAAAATAGGATGTTCAAGCACTCTCACTGACTAGAGCAGTGATCAGAAACTCTTGGGGCAGAGCCTCTTATCTATCTTTAGTCATACAGAGAAGGGAAGTGAGGCCAGTGTTAAATAACTTGGCTGTAATGTAGTGAGTTAATGCAGAATATCTAGAACCCAGCTTCTTTTACCTCCTGACTAATGTCCTTTCTGTTTTACTGAAGCCCTTGAGTTCATTCAATGGCTTCTGGATTTTATTCTAAAATACAGTTGTACTTAAATTTGTGGCTATTTGTCTCTCAGGCTTCCCGATTCATATTAAGCAATTCTGGCAAAATTAGTGAAGACTTAGATTTTTTTAAAAAGTCTAATATGAGGCAATAGCAATTGATTGAAAATGGCTTGCCTTCTGGCTGAAACTAAAGGTTTTAAATTTTATTATGGGAATGGGAAGGTACAGGAGTTTGATTTTTACTGATTTTCTTATGCTTTAAACTAAGGCTCAGTTCGTTTTCCTAGATTTCTCTTTTATACCCTAAACTATTCTAAAACTTTGGGTAAGTCCAATGAATTTGGAATCCTTTGCTAAAACCGTGAGTGTCCTAACAAGTATATAGCCCTGAAAGTGAGTGTTAGAACTTCTGAGCGCTCATCAGAGATAAAGCCCCATGGTCGTCTGAGGTTTCTTCCACTGTTTTCTAATCCATGGACTCAGCATGGAGTGATGAAAAGAACCTGGATTTTGAAGTCTGGACTTGTATGCTGTTTCCACCACTCAGTACTTGACAGTTTTTTAAAATCATCTGAGGCTTAATGTGTGAGTTCTGATCAAATGCTGTCTGACCTTTCACCTTTAAGCTATGCTGAGCTTCCTGTACATCACATCCACGGTAAAGGACCCCAAGCCACAGTCACTTGTTGCTTATTCTCAGTCTCTTTCACCTTATTGTAATGATTCTGTGTTTCTGTATTTGTCAAACTACTTTTTTTTCTGGCTTTGTCTGTCATGGTTGATGCTGGGCTCCCTCCTCATAGCAAAACACTAGGCATGTTTCTCTAGTGGTTTGACTTTCAAAAATACATAATTTTCTGGTACTTTCTTCCTCAAATTATCCCTGATGTTTCTAAGTGTTTAGTTACTCATTTAACACTTAGTCTCAAGAATTTACATCAGCACTTCCCAGCTTGCTAATCTTCCCCTAATCTGTCCTCATCCATTCTAGAACTTTCAGAGGGACATATGAGAATTAAAACAAAAATGTGTAGAAGTCTGTAACATTACTGTGTAACTAAATGTGAACAATGCTAAATTCTCCTTCCCTGGGGGAGATAAGGGCCAAAAGGTGCCTGAATGTAATAACCAAGAATCAGAGACTGCTGGTGTGACTGTGTAATACCTCAGTTCAAGAACTTCTTTCCCTGATTCTGGTTACAAACTTCCTATCAAATTTCTGTGTAAGATCAACATTGAACTTAAGCACTAAATTTTATTCAGTTAATGACCAACTTGGTTTGCTACCAGAATCGTGGAAAGGATTGAGTTTGTGAACTGAGGTGCCACCGTAGTAAGACGCTAATGAGGAAAGTGGTCCATGATGTGGCTCGCTGTTCCGTCTAAATCGTTAGTTTGGCATAGATTTCTCCCCAAAATGGTAAGATAGGTGTTACATACCCTGCGCCCATCATCTGCACACTAGGGATGGGCACGTACGTCCGAGCGCACACTGGCTTGCTTCTCCCACATCCCCGTTCATCTGAATTGTCTCCGCAGTCGTTTTCTCCATTACATTCTAACTTGCTGGCAATGCAGCGTCCTGACAAGGAAAGCACACAACAGTGCTTGAACACGTTCTCCCTTAGGAAGCCTCTATTACGTTTAAGCACAGATGCTTTAAGTTTCCAGAAAAAGTGAAGGGCAAGATTTCACTATTTTGTGCAATGACTTAGGAATGTATAATAATATTTTCTTCTAACTTTTAAAATGATGAGAGTCACCATAAGATTATTCAAATGCAATTGGAATGCTGGTTTAAAAAAGAATAATTGTGGAATCTCATAATGAGGCTGTCGTAGAGATCGTGTTCTATAGAGTAGTGTTAAGACTAGGTTCAGAATTTTATTTTGATTCAGATGTTGAGTCTAGGTCATTGTTTTATTAAAAAAAAGAACTGTGCAATCTTACATAAATATGTTCTACCAGTATAAACAATAAAATGACTAAGTCTCTAAACTTTTATGTTGAGTAAAGAAAGCCAGACACACAAAAATCATGCCACGTTTCCTTTATATGACATTCAACAACAAAAATAAGGCGAGAGATTAATTACAAAGAAGAAGGGAACTTTTGGAGTTTGTGGAAAATTTTTACCTTTCCATCGATTTTTTAAAAAAAATGTAATTGTGTATATTTGAGATCTATGTATTTCATATAAATGATAATTTTCTGTATAATTACTTGTCTTTGACATGTGCTCCTTATGAATTTTCCTACATATAACTCCTGTGTATAAATATTTTAATACATATATTTATTGCCTCTATTTTTTCCATCAGTTAACTGCAAAGATAACAAGTAGATGAATTTGGTAAACAATGCAAACTCCATAAACACAAATAATTTCCCTTTCTTTAGTCTTGCTGAATTGCATCAGAATCCTTGAAATCGGTATTCATATATTGCAGAAATAGAAACGTCTTGCATACAATGACAGATCCCTTTTCTTGTCTCAGCTTCCTGCTTGCATTTAAAGGGGCTGGTATCTGTACCATCATATACAGATCTAATGGGCAATAAATAAATGTTTCACTCAAGATTATCTGCCTGACTGGCTTACATTGTTACCAGCATCTAAACTACGATACACACTTACAATTCTGCATTACTTTGACTAAAACTTGGGGAAACTGGGTGTTCTGTTAAGATTTTAAAAATTAACACAAAGTTACCCCAAAAGTATTTAATTTCAAATCATTTAGTCAATCATCTTCACTTTGAAAGTGATGTGTAATGAGAATAGTTGTTTTCCTTTGACTATTCAAGATCTTACATTGTACCCTTTATTATAATTATACAAATGAACAGTGTAATTATACAAAAATGAAAACATAGATAGAATTGAATTTCTAAGAGTCTCATGATATAAACCAGAAGATACTCCTTCAAAAATGCATTTTTTTTGTTTCAATAAAATAAAATGTGATTTAATTGGAAATAAAGAATACTGGATTTTATTTTAAAAGAACCTATATTACTTTCTTTTAAAGTAAGTTTTAAATCTAGTCTTTACAAAATGTTTTAAAAATTGAAGTTCTGCTATACTTTCAGGTTTTGAAAGATGCCATAATTTACTAGATGAAGGTAGGAATATTCATGCAGAGTACAGTTCTAATTAGCATATTCTTATTATTTGTATTGCTCACCTTTGTGAGCAAGGTGCTGGAAATGTGAATTCACAGGATATTCTATCCACTGGTACTTCTAGCAAGACTGGAAAGGCCCCTTTAGCAAGAAAGGCGGCAAAGAAAGACATATTCTGAAGTGTTGCTTAGGAATGGGTGGTCGGTATGATGTGAGCCCGATGAGACATGGCTGAGACTGAATCCAAGCCAAAGACTCAGTGGGCTATAAAACAGAGAGACTGTAAGCCGTAAATATATCCTACATTGTAGAAGGTTGAGAAAGATGAAAGGCGACTTCACTACTGCAGGGTTTATAGAAGCCAGATTACTTTAGCTATTACATGCATGTACAGTAGTTTCCTTTCTGTATGAGGAGTGGGTTTCAAGACCTCCAGTCATGATCTTAAATTCCACATAATACTGAACCTCTACTTTAATGCACTTTTCATGTTTGCTAGTAGCCATCATACCCCTCTTCCAAAACTTTTGTACTTTGAGTTGTGACAGCAAAATTAATACAGACTTTTTCCCTTTCACAATTTCATGAATAAGATTCACTTTTTATCCACATTTTTTTTAACATCAGCATATTATTTTTAAAATATCTTTAAGGCAAAAATCTGCATTTTCATTTAAAGAAATCATTTCTCTGGTTTCTGTTTTGCCATATCCAAATTGCCACCACCACTATTCTTGTGCTTTGGGGTCACTGAGGACAATCATTAAGTAAAGTAAGAGTTTAGTGAGCACAAGCATGGCCACTACACACAGTAGATCTCACAACCAAGAATAACAGGCAGGGGATAAACTCTACCAAAGAATGATTTGGTCCTGGGACAGACAGAGTGCAATAACTCTTCATGCAATTTAAAAATTACACATTGTTTATTTCTGGAATTAGCCATTTAGTATTTTTGGATGGTGGTTCACTTACAGATAACTGAAACTGTGTAAATGAAGCTGTGGAAAAGGGAGGGCTATTGACTATGTGGACATTTGGAGCTCTGCAGTCTTTTATAAGCCGCACATGCTCTTCCTATCTATATGAACTGATGTGTGTTACAATGACATTTTAAAATAACTAGCTAAAACTTCTCTAGTTTTCTATCTTTAAAATTATGACTTTTAAAGAGATGTTGGCACAGCATATGGGAATTAGCTTCATGGGTGACTCTTACAACTCATGTGTACGTTAAAATAATATATTGAGTCTTAGAGACTCTTGAGTGACTCAGCAACAATCAAGAGGGAGAGATAAAAGCTGAGCCTGCTTAGGACACACTATTAGTTCTAGCCATTTTTTTGGTTAAGTGAGAGCCAAATATGCTGAGTGAGACTCATAATCATCCATCCAAGCTCTCTTTCTCACCCACAATGGCTTTAGTGAATGTTTTTAGGAGAGCACAGTAGCCTATCATCTTCAGTCGAGTACTTGACATGCAATCAGAAAACATGCCAACCATAACTGTGCTAGGCATTCACCAGTTAGTGGCTGGATTATAGGTATATCAATGGGTTCAGGGTGAGGAAGTCTGAGCAGCAGGGAGCTCAGGGTGGTAGCTGCTTACCAATCCCTCATGGACTCATTGCAAATGACTCAAACTTTTATCAGTGATTGTGGACATACAGCATCTCAGGTAAAAAGGACACTGTGCTTATACTGCTAACTTTTCTGAAATCAGTTGTGATGTACTGGTGAATAATGAATGAATTTAGGATTTGTGCAAGTTTTCCCTAGCCTAAAGAATGTTCTTTTATAATAAATTTCATATCATCTACTGCATAAAGAAATATTTCTTGGTTACTTGTAAAAACTGCCTTTGGAGCTTCTAACAGATAGACTTCAGTTTTAACCCTTGCTTTTAATAGTGTAGATTAATATTTCAGGTGTGTGCTACTCTCAATCACTGCAATCAAGCTTTGCTCATATCCCCTCTAAGTCAATTTGTGACATGATCTTATTTATATAAAGACATATACTTTACTACTCAACTCAGATCCTACCCTTGTTTCCCAGGGTTGTGATACATCATAAGGGGAAAAATCCTTTGACATAAGCATTGCTGTCTGACATTCAGAAACTTTTGGAAAAACTGAAAACAAGAAGTAAGGTTAAGAGGTTTTTTTTTTTTTTTTTTTTTTGTCTTTTTCCTTTTTATCGGTACCGGGGATCGAACTCACAACTGCCTGCTTGCAAGGCAGGCACTTATGCCGCTGAGCTAAATCCCCAGCCCCAAGGTTAAGAGTTTTAAAAACATTAGTTCCAAGGTCTTGGGTCAATTCAACATGGAATACAAAATTTATTAGCTAGCTATAAATACTTTACTTTTCAGTATATAGCACATCACACAGAGATGATACAGAGCTATTTATCTGACATTTCATTTATTATAACTTCCAACCGACTAGGGAAGAGGTCAGTGAACTGTGGCTTGTGTACTAAAACTGACCCACACCTTATTTTTGTAAATAAAATTTTATTGAAACACAGCCACATTTGTTTATATACTATCAAGGATAGTTTTGGTGCTAAAATTCCAGAGCAGAGTGGCAGCAAGCTAGACGATAAGGTTCATATGACCAACTGGACCTTTACTGAAAGTCTGCAGAAATATTATTCAGTGGTAAGTATCAAAGAGCTGTTAATTAACAAGAGAATACATAAGATTAATATATCCAATATTTGATTATAACTTAATGAAATGTAACCACCAGATATACCTGACTCAGTATTGATTTTGAAGGTAGTACCATCATTATAATCATTCTGATCTTTTTGTTTGGAATTACCTTTGGGACCAATCAAGAAAATTGTCATGTAATTTCTAGTCATTCTCTGATATTGTACCTGACTATTCTTAAATATATTGAAAATCTTTTTAACCTGTTATCTCTTTTCACTTATCCACATTACAGCTTCCTAATTATCAATAAAAAATATTTGCCTACATTTTCCCCTCTTCTTTTTCTCCTTCCTGCATTAGAACAATGCAGGGACCAGAACACCATCAGCAAATGAATTAAGCAAGTGAGTAGAATGATTATATCTTGAAAGGTGTAATTTCACACATGAATGTTTTGATAACAGGGTTAGCAGCCTTGTTTCCCAAAGCTTAGAATGAAGTGGAGTTTCTACTGGTGGTTAGTTAGAAGAACTTTGATTTAGTCAGGTCATTTTAGTGAGCACTATATTTTACAAAAGTACATTACCACTGTCACAGCGGAATTTATTCTTGCAGTTAACCTCTTCAATTTTGCAGAGTTTAGATGGAATACATGGTTGATATGTCGCCAGAGGCTCAGTACATGGTTGCCCCCCAAATTGACTAGGGCGCAAGATCGATCTAACCTTAGTCTAAAAGGAAAGGAGAAAAAGGTAAGTAACTTCAAGGCAGGGTCAAGGTCAAAATGCAGCTAAGAAAATGCTACTTCTCAATTACAGGGGTGAGTTTTTCCTATGACGGTATTTCCAATTTTTCAGTTTTATTATTGCATATTTTTAGGGAAGTAAGCACTTCCTGGGGTCTCAGTTTCCTGACCTGCAAGAAGAGAGAGGAGTAAAAGGATTTTTAAGACTTCTAACTCTAATTACATGGTTCTAAATTCCATCAGCATCAAAACAGACAAAAGTTTATATTGAGATTCTCCTGAGTGCAATAAATCATTCCAAGGAATAACAATAGTCCTATATCTCAAAGGCAGTGTGCAGCGATAAATGTGAAAGGATTTTAAGTTTCTTTTGCATACAGAAGTCACCATGGAAACAGAGGTTGACATTTTCTCCACGCATTAAAAGATTTTAAATGGTGAGTACTAAAATGAAGAATCAGGTGAGGATAGCTATATTATTGGACTAACAAGTACTGACTTTGAAGTCAAGATACTAAGTTAAAAATACAGCTATTTTTTTAAATTAAAGGTTTATTCTTATATTTAACCTCCAATGACCTGTAATTTGCTTATGTATAAAATGGGCAGGAAAGCAGAGCATGATTTAGCATGTGAATAAAGTGATAGATAGGTGTAAGGGGCCTAGAACACTTGCCCTTGTTCAAGGGGTGCCCCCTAAATGGGTTTCTTTTCCTTCTTTAATATGTGGACTCTCAGCACCCACCAGCTAAGGTGCACAAGGGTCAGTGCCCTTATGGGAATGTGCATGAGGCAGGTCAATAATTCAGCAGGGAACAGTAAACAAATTGAAGGACCATCCCGTGGGGTCAGAGCACTGAGAGGAAGCATTCAGTCAGGCTTTTGATTCATTTCTTTTGTTTCTGTTTAGTTTTAAGCATTGGGCTAAAATCTCTATTTTTCACTGCCTGCTGTTTCTTTAAGAAGCAAAAAGTACAAGCGGTGGATTTCAGATGTAGATAAATATTAGACCAATTGTGAAGGTAGAATTTTCTTTTTCTTCCTGATCCTGGACCTCTGAAAATTGCTAAATGAATGTTTTCTCAGTGGAAATTGGAATAGTTTACTGTTAGAAATCGAAACAACGTGATGTTTCTGTACTGTTTCTCAGCGTTAAGAAAGCACTTTCTTGTAATTCGGTTCCCTGGGAACCCCATGAATCACTTACTTGTTTTTTAAGGCAAGGGTCACAATCTGACCATGGCCCATAATCTCCCAGGATGCAGTTGATAGGACACGCCTGCCAGTTACACACTCTGGTTTCCTGCTTGGTGCAAAGCTGGTCACACGAGCTATCCCAATAGTAATTACTTACTATTTGCCTGTAATAGTGAGGAAAATGTTGTTTCATATGTGTGTATTCACCATGGCTCCAACTTCACAAGAAAAATATCACTGAGCATTTATGAAGAATAAAAGGAAAAAGTTTCATGGAAAAATCAGGTGGGTTGGCATAAATACAGTTGATATAAATTCGTGAAACTCAGGACCAGGTCCATAATTTGGAGGGATCAGTACAAAATAAACATAGGACATATCTTTAGTAGTGAAAAATGTTTTGACAGTGATGGCAGAACTAAACCACACAAGAAGCCCTTCTATGTTTGGAGGCCTGTGTGATTGCACAGGTCACATCTGTGAAACTGGCCACATGGACATCCTGAAAGGCAATGGAAGGAAAAGAGAGTAAAATTCCTGCAAGTTGCTTAAAAGATGGCACTAAAATGTGGTAAGTGCAATGACTGAAATAAGGCCAGGGTGATGGAGAGCCAAAGATTCAAAGACAAAGAGGCAGAAGAGTGACATACTGAAAAAAATCATGGCAATTCTCCAAGTGAAAAAGGGAAGAACAGTTGGAGAACAAAAATTAGAGATAGAAGGGAGCATAAACCTCTGGGGAGGTCCTAATGCAACCCAGAAGGAATGCATGATTGGGACAGATGGGATATATTATTCTTTATTTGGTAGAAACAGGGAGCTACTAAAGGGCTCTTGAGTAGAGGAACATCATAACAAATTTGTTTTCACACATTTAGTAAGTGGAAGCCAATTGGTAAGTTTGATGAGAGTTGCACTACATATGTAAAAATGCTTTTCTAAAATAGGAAAAAGGGCCATAATGTTTAAAACACATGAACTGCGTGCCTTTCCCCCTCCATGCCTCTGAGTACCTCCACTGGACAGAAATGTTTATTAGTTTTAGGGAAATGTGGGGGGTGAGTAGTCTGAATTGATGAAAAGGCTGAATTCTCAAATGCTATCAAGTAAACACAGCTTTCTTGCCAGTTGTGTATGCCAACAATTGAGCTAATAGCTAACAATGCTGTTCAATTGAGGTCCTAGACTCAGTTTAATGAGTAGAAATTTCTCTATAATTAACTCACTAACTATAGGCTAGCAAAGTTATATGCTGATTGAAAAAGAGCTCGAGTAGCAGTTCTGCATAAGTTAGTCAACTGAAAATATTGTATAGCTTTTTAATTAAATTTCTTCAAAATCCTTTGTTTTTGTAGAGAGAATAAAAATAGATTTCATTTCAACTTAATATGGGAAAAATTGCAATTTCAACCAAATTTTTAAGTTGTTGTTTAAGATACAACTTTTCTCTGCTTGATGTGGTACTTCAAATGCTGCTGACATTGTTTTCAAGGTCTCCTAGGACAGAAAAACAAAAAAAACCCCAAACCCAAAACCAAACCAAGACAAAAAACCCACATACATATCTTACACCCACCTATGTCTGCTCTGGGTTCCAAAATTGCATGTTTTTGAGCAGCTGGACCACTGAGTCCAGGGGAAGTGATCACAGAAGCATGTTTGGGCCCCATGAATCATAATGCTCAGCAGAAAGAAATACAAGATGGAATGTCCAGCCATGCCTTGAGGGGCTACACTATTTTCATGTCCTGAAATGGAATAACACAATATAGTACATATTCAAGGCTTGTTGCGAGAAAACTTTAAGGTCGTTCTGCATCACAAACTCAAATATGAGTTTGGAAACATGTGCATTTCTTTATCTTTCTTAAGGCAAGTTAATACATAAACTCCTATGGTCCTGAGCAGAAGATTTTTTTTTGGTTAGAGATTTCTGCAGTTATAACATCCAGGGTAGAGTACAGTAACTTTCTTTGAATTGTACTGATAGAATATGAGACAAGGATGTGTCATATTCCTAAGTCATTTCATATCCTAGATTTCTCAAAGCAACTGCTCATTTCATGTTGGCAGAACACTGAAGTATAGTTTAGCTTTTTAAACTTTTCTGGGACTTGGAAAGGAGCATGGGCTATTCTCCTGGGAATTTCAGCTCATTTCCTGGCATCTAGAAAACCTGCTAAAGAGAGTTCATTGCCCTTCTACATATACAGCCATAGAGTTTAGAACTGGACAGACCAAATTCCACTTTGTAGAGGTGAAAATGAGACTCCGACAAGTGTGACAGCCTTGAAGCTGTGTGGCAAGGGAGACATACCTGGTTCTCGGGTGAGACTACTTCTTTGTTGAGTTTTAACAGCACTAATTATCACATTAGTGCAGCATCACGATGTTCAGAATTTCACCACACAGGTCACAGGAGGGTTTGATCCAGATAATGCCAGTGAGAACGTTGACCCTGTGGTTGTCTCCTGTGTACCCTGGACTTTGAGCATCTGTGAGTTATTACAAAATCATCTCTGTGCCCCAGCATTGTCAGTTTAATCTTCTTAACTCTAATTAGGTAAGTAGCATGAAATATATGCATATGCATACACACATAAATTAACATATGCATATGTAATTGCCTCTGTAATTATATATTCATTTAAAAAGTAAAATGCTATTTACCTAACTTTTCTGTATCTCCATTTAAATATTAAGAAAATAATAGTTTTACCTTCCTCCTAAGGCTTTTCTTAGAATTCAGTAGGACTCTCCATACAAGATGCTTAGAACAACCCTTAGTATAGGATTACAGCAAATAAACTTTGAAAACGTGTTTTGGTATTAAATGAGGCTATTCATGTGCAAAATATTTAGAAACATGGCGTTACTTGGCATGTGACAAATAAAATCAGACCTATGACCATCATCTTTTAAATTATAATTTTGTTCTAGTTTTTAAAAAATTCCCCTTCACTGCTTTATTTTTCTATGTACATCTCTTCCTAATTAATACTTTATTAAATTAAAATAATACCTCTTTTTTTCCTTTACCTTTTCACTAGAATTTAAACACAATGGTGGTTTATCTTTTTTGTCAGTTTCCTTTATTTCAGTTTTTTAAAGAAAGAGAGAAAGCAAAGTATGTATTAAATAAACATTTGTTGACTTGATTAAATTTAGGATATAGTTTTAGAAATGGTTTTAATAAAATATGAATAATACAGTTTCAATCCATCCTTATCCAGCTACTTCCATATAATATTATTATTAACATTTCGGCTAAATTATAACTGGACTCATCTGCTCAGTGATTACTCACTATTTTAGTAAATGGCAGTTTGTAGCACAACTGGTTCATTTCTAGTTCACTGTAATAGTTGATTGAAACAAAAAGCAAGATTGTTAAGATTCATCTTTACTTTTAAAACACTTTGTAATTTACTTAATCCACCTTTTATTTAAAACATTTACTTCTAAAATATACAAATGTATGAAAACAGCCTATAATAAAACAACTTAGAAAACCTCTGCTGACATTAAAGAGAAAATAATCCCTGTTTTTAAATAACCTTAAGTACAATAAAATGAAAAATATGAATCCAAGTTCTTGTGCACCTGTCCTTCTCTCCACTTAACATCCCTGTTTTCTCTTTCTTTAAATAGGTAGATGAAAATTTCTTTCACACAGCAGCTTACACATATTCACTAAATATATACATCAAAGAGATGACATGTGATATATGAGTCTGTACTTCACTTTTTTCAAGTTATAATCTTTGAAGACTTTTCATATTAATAGGTACATAAGTATTTCATTCATTTTAATGACTATATTGTTTTATTTCATCTAAATGTACTGTATTGTTTTTAACCATTGTATTGTGGACATTTAGTACATATAGTGTACTATCTTTCTAATAGTATCTTATAATTGTAGTATATAACCATGAAGCCAGCATAAATATTTCTAATATTTATGCTGTTATAAATATTACCCTAATATTTATTTGTTGAATGATTTGTAAATATAAAATTTCTTATGTTGTCAAAATCAGTACTGAAATATAGATTCTCCAAATGTCTAAGAGGATGAGTTTCTGGTTATATTTTAATGTGATTAGTTTATATTTGTTATTTGTAATGTAAAGATTCTGTGAGTTAATAATTTTATAAATCTTGGTTAGGATAGATATAGGAATCATTTTTCCAATATGCTCATTAATGGCAGTATTTCTTATTAATAAGTCAAAAGCTTTTTAAATTCTTCTATAAGAGGAAAATGCCAGAATGAAAGCAACTAAGTTCATTTATATATACAGCTCAATGTGACCTTCAATTTAAAATGGAATCAACATGTTTTTGAGTATCCATTGTGAGCAGTGGAGCATTAGTGAGACATAAAAAACAAACCACTATCACTGTCTGTGGGGAGTAGATAGACATTAAATCTTCTACTCAGGCTTTTGTAGCCAAGTGTTTCCTCTTTTGCTTAAATCCAACTCATGGATATGTTGCTGCAGTCCTTCCGAGATCGCTTTAGAGATTGCTCCACTTGCCTACTGATTACACTTCCTGGTAAGGAATTCATGTTTCCTGTTTTTTTCCAGCATCACAGAATAACAGAACGCTGAAATAAAAATGGCCAGAGAGAATCTAGATTGTGATCAGCTGAAGGATGGGTCTTAAATATCCAACCCAAGTTCCAAATTGGGCTGTTTTTCTCACTGACTTCAGGGTCCGTGGAAGTTGAGGTTCCTAAACAGTTTGAAGCTTCTGTGTCAACCAGCAGACAGACTAAAGGTCCCTTTCCTCCATTTTCAACTACCAACATTTAGCTCTTCTTAAATAGAGGATACTTCTACCAAAGGAACTAGACAAATTTTGTTATTTTAGTTGTTTGTTTTTTGTTATTAAAAAGTAGAAGGCAGAGATATCATCCAGAATATATCTCTCAGTTATAAAGAAAAGAAATTCTTAAACTATCTGATTAATCAGCATGAACACAATTGTGAGAAATGAAATTACGAGAGAATCTCTGTTCTCGTCAGATATGTTTTAACTTACAAAAGTTAGATGTAATTTCAGCTATCATCAAAAACTGTGAGAACAGAATCCTTGTAAAATATTCTGGTGTTTTCTTGGCTACAAATGTTGTGAGGCAATTTAGAAACTGATGTAATTTAATATAGCAACGTCAAAACTTCTATCATGATAGGAAAAGACTGGTAGTTTCTGCTTCTTTAACATTTTTTTGTTACAAAGAAAATTATTTTATGCTAAAAGAATAATTTTAATTCAAATAAAGAAAATATTTTGTTTTTTATCATAGTCCACCATATATCATGTTTCTTTATTAATTTCCAGTATCTCCATGTGTTTTGGAGACATTTTCCTCATTATCATTATATTCATTCAAACGTGGAACAAAAGACTGTTCCTTGGATAGAGGGAGACGATAGAGGAAAATCTTCCACATTAGGGCCATGATAGAAGAGTAATGACTTTGTAGATTTCTCATAAATGCTATAATCTCTTGAGCTTCCTAAAAATCATTGCTATCACTGAGCCACTGAAGATGGCTCTGGGGGCACTGGAGAATTCTAGTTAAGATGGAAGACTGTCTTACCCTACAACCTGTCACCCTTTGAGGCATTTTACTCACATAAGCAATAATTCTTCAGGGCAGTTCAGCACATCTGACCTGACAGATTTCAGAAGATGCTCTAATTTATCCCCAACTGTAGGTTGTTCTTCTGAATCTTCTTGCAAACTTTGTGAATCTTTTATGTCTTACTTTTTCTTCTATGCATATCCCAGTGGCTCAAGAAATGATATTACCAATGCTGGAGTAGCCTGAGGAGTCCAGGAGCATGAGTGATCTTGGCTAAAATGTATATTTGCTTTTTTTTTATTTTAAAGAGAAAAAAACAATAAAATGATACAAAATTTCAAAACAAGGTGATAGGAAATTAACAATGGATATTATATTGCATATTGCTGTCCTCAAAATAGTGCTCAGGGTAACAGATATAGGCATGCAAAATTGATCAAACAATATAAACGCTAACTGTTCTTTTCAGTGAACTAATAGAATGAGTAATGCAATTATCTTAGTTATCGTATATGTACAGTATATATGTATTATATATGTGTGTATATGTATGCATATATATATATATATATTATTTTCCTTCCTTCTTTTCTCCTTTCCTGCATCCCAGTTGTTCTTTTCCTTTGTGCAGTTTCTATACTTTTACTCATGGAAAAATTGGATCTCAAATGCCCTCTAATAGGACATTTCTTTAAAAAAATCATGAACTAGTGTTTTTTATGAGATTTTAAACAAAGTATCTAGTTCTTAGCTTAAGAACAAGACAAAAAAATGATTATAGTCCAACTGATGTACTTTCAAGCATGAAAGGGAAAGTTAGTTAGAAATGTGATATACAATTTTAAACACTAGAATTGTACATTAAATCATTTTGTCACTCACCTTTAAAGTGTTTGTGGTATCCAAGAATCTAATCAGCAAAAGACTCAGGAAACTCTATGTATTCACAGTGAAAATTGTTTAAATGATAATCCAAGCCAGTCTTTTTCTCTCTTGGGAGCTAACACAAGGTAATGATATCATGGCCCCAAAACCCCAAAGATAACCTAGAGTGTTGGTAAAATAAACACTGTGTGGAAACTCAGACTTTGCAAATGATTACTCCTATCAGCTATAACCCTGAAACTAAGCATGAGATAACACAAGATCCTGAATTTTCAGTGATTGTCCCAGTAAAGCTTCATACAATCACTACTGCTCCTGCAGAGAAAATAAATCTTTGATTCTATTTTTAAAATTCATATGGAATAGTTGCTTTGCATTTCTCTTCCCTTTTAAACATATCTATTTCATTAAAAATATCTATATGGATTTTTGTGTTTCTGATTATAGAATATTCATTGTGAAATATTTAGGAAATATTATTTGAAGACAGCATGATTATAATAAAGTTGAAAACAATCTACAATCACTTGACTCTGTAAATGAATTTAGTGAGATTCCAAGATACAAGCTTATAGAAAACATACTCTAATATATCAGAAAAATTTAATAGAAGATTTCATTTAGAACAATGTATGAAGTAGCAAGCTCTTATAAACTCTTTAAAACTGATTGTATTTATGTTTCTTTGAAAGTCACAACATAGCTTGAGATGGACTATTGTGAATATTATATCAAGATAAAGTAGAACAAAATAGTGCAACAGACATATTATCTTGATTCTGTGCTAATCAGCTGTATGGTCTTTAACAAGGAATTTTACTTCATTTACCTTGTTTCCTCATGTGTGAAATAGGTATTTTTCAAACTGTTTCTAAAGCAATAGAAGGCTTATTTTGAAACTTCATTGTATCTTCAATATGGAAAATAGCTAGAGCAGATATTTCTCAGACTACTTAAATTTCCACTATGTGATTTGAAAATGAAGATCTCAGCAGGTGTAAAGAGTCTTTGATGCACTGCTGGGAAGACATCACTCAAAGGGAATTCTTTAACACGTATAGTAGTAACTTTTTGGAGGCCAGACTAGTAGAACCAGATTACATACTACCCTATTTATAGTCTGTGTTGTAGTCAGGGGTTGCAAAGAGAACAATTACATACAGGACACATAATTTATAGTATTATTTATAATGGTAATCCATGGGGTCAGATACAAAGAAAGTGCAGGGAATCTTTGCATTAAAGACCTAGAAAATCCAGCTGAGGACATGACAATAACCTGCATGAGTTCAGTTGAAAACCTGGAGCCCATGACAATGACTTATGCAAGTCTGTTTCATAGATCTGCACTGGGAAGGTCCAAAGGTCAGTGGAGAAAGCTAAAAAGTCTACACCAGTGGGGTGAAAGATCTGTGCCAGTAGATTGAGGTTTATGCACTGGAGCCAAGAAGCAACACTTAAAATAAGGACCAAGGCTCCCCCACAAAAGTACCACAGCCATCCTCAGTGACAACAAGGTCCCAAGCTCCTCCAACAATGAGAACAGCTGAATTCGTATCAGGAAACAGAGTGACAAGTTTTCTTTGGAGATTGAACAACATTCATCTTCCCCTCTGGAGCCAGCAAGTGACGCTCAAAGTAAGGATGAGAGTTCCCCCAAAATGAACCATAGCTAATCTTAGCAACAAGGTCCCAAGCTCCTTCAGTGATAACAGCCAAATTCATATCAGGGAGGACAGCAATACAAGCTCCTCCAGAAGAACCAACAGCTCCAAAAGACAGCAACTGCTCCAAACAACAGCACTTAGGTGAACCTGCAATGCTAGTTTTCCTCTCCAGGTCTCCTTCTTATGCTGGCAACAGTTCTCAGGTGGCCCATCCACATGCAGCACCACACTGATTCAGTTCAGCTGGTGTTTAAGTTGACCACCAGTTTCCAATCCACTGCAGTTTGTTTTTATTCATCTGTAATGTATTTAGACTTTAAAGACTGAGATTTTACACTAAAAAGGCAGCTGAACAGTGTGCTGCTGCAGACCAGAGCTAAAGATAATTTGGGGCTGGTATAGTTAGCTGCTTTACCTTTGAATATCTGAGCAGTTAGATAGGAGAAAGAATATTTAGTGACAAGGCAAGAAAGTTTGTATCATTTACACATCTATACTTCATTGATTAGTTGATATTTGAGGCCCTACAATAAAATAATTTGTATTAATCACCTTTTATGTCACTCAATTAAAATATCTTAAACTCACGAAGTAAAGAATTTATCTGGCTCATGATTTCAAGGGATTCAGTCCATGGTAGAATGGCTCCAAGGCAGAAATGGCATGGCTAAAGTGTCTGTTAGGGGAAAGCTGCTGAACCATGATAGCCAGGAAGCACCAGAGAGGAAAGGCACAGAGGCCAGGTATAGTGCCAGAGATCACACCCGTGTAGTTCACCCAGACATAAGGCAACTCTTAAGCCAGCGAAGTGGCCAAAACAAAATAATACTACATCAAAGTCAAACAGTTGCAACAGAGGCTATATAAGTCTCTCAGTTATTGCCAATGGCTGCTTTTGTATTACATCAGAGCTGAATAATTGTAACAGACTATAGTATAACAGACTATAGACTATATGATAGCCTGAGCAGCTTTAAAAAATGTACTATGTGGTACTTTGCAGAAAATTTACTCTCTGGCCCTTTGTAACCCTAAGGGAGAAATTTCTGGTCTGATAAATACAGCCACAGTGTCCAGGTGGCTTTGGGAACTAGAAATTGTTTTACATGGAACTGGGGAGTGGGTGATTATTCCTGAGCTAGGACTCAAACACTTGTATGTAGCTGTGCTAAGGTCTTCCTCTGGGAGTTCAAAGAATACAAATGCTTTCTAAACAATATTTAGGTGGGTGCCACTGAGACACAAGAGGGCTTTAAAGTTAACACGCTGAGCGGTTTCAGCAACTATGGGCCCTAAAATGTGTTGGTTGGTGACATGAATACCTTTTAACACAAACTGCACTGTATTTTTACATTGTGTAAAGTTGGTAATGACTGACCAGTAGAGAAACCTGTGACCACAAAAGAACAGTAGGATATGGGAGAAAATTATCACCAGAATATGAAAATTTAAGATAGACAATTATCATTTTTCCGGAAGGAGAATATATGTTGTTACAAACCATTATTTCTCTTCTAATGATGACAGATTCACAGCCAAATATTTCTGCCAAGAAAATAACCCCAAATATAAGATAATGAACGGTGAAAGCAGCTGACTCTGGGAAGGATTTTTTTTCCACGTTATGTATTCATATGCTAATGGATCATTACAGCAAAAATCCTATAATTTCTCATTAGCACAAAGGCTAATGAACCCATCTATTTCATAATCCCAAAGACAGTACTTTGTAGATCTATATGTATGTAGATAAAGCAAAATATCAAGTTGACTTACCTCTCTTGCAGAAGCAAATAGGAAGTACAAGTTGCTTTGGATTTCAGGCTATCATGATCTTATTCTCTTCCTTTATTAAAATTACTAGAAATACAGTCAAAATTAACACAGTTAATGTCTTACTATCTCCTCCTCATTCATTTCACTATTTGAAATTTACTTATAAATTCATCTAGTCTACATGAATGTGCTTTTAATGACCAACACTAGCTTCCTAAATACCAATTCAGTTATCCTCTTTGTAATCCACTACTGTTCTCCTGGACGTGACACAATGTCTATATTTCTCTAAACACCCAGGTAATTCTCCTTTTGATACAATACTTGTATTTTTTAAGCACTCTTTTGCCTCCCTCTATAATTCTTTTTTTGTTTTGGTTTGTTTTTTTGTCTTTTTCGTTTTTTATCTGTACCAGGGATCGAACTCACGACTGCCTGCTTGCAAAGCAGACGCTTATGCCGCTGAGCTAAATCCCCAGCCCCCCTCTATAATTCTTTTCCTGTGTGCATCTGGAATTTTGTCATTAGCTCCCTTTCATTAGAGATTTCATCTACTTCCATAAATTTGTGAATCGTCTTTGAGTTGTTTCATAGATCTCAGTTTTCTAATATTCATTAATAATATTCAAATAAAATTCTGTCACAGTGTTGCATCATCTCTCCCTTGCTTCTCCTGTCTTATCAGATGCTAAATCTTGCAGCATAGTTTCTATTTCTGAATTGTCTCTTGTCTAGTAGCTCCACACACATGTTTTCTGGCTCCTGATCATGTCTATGGTGTTGAATCCACTCCCAGCTCTTAAGAATTTTACCGTTAAGAGACATCAGTGGCTTAACTACTTTGTGAGCCTTGGGAACTCTCTGGTAATGGTTCCTAAAATATTGTGCTAGCTTGTTTATAGCTCACCTCTAAATATGAAATTTCAATGTTCTTTTTAGAAGTCTACCAAGTGAGTAACAGAGTGTGGGTATCTATTATTTGAAACTTTAAGAAATTTGGGTTCTCTATTATCTCTTTAAACTTTATTTTCTTGCCATTCTTTTGCATAATATTCCATACAGCCATATTGGACAACTTATTGGTCCTCAAAATTAGCTATAATTTCTCCTGCCATTATACTTTTTCCTAAACCATTTTCCCAATTTCAAATTAGTCTATTGCATAGAACTTCTTCATGGGCCATTCCAAATGTTTTTTTTTTTTCATAAACATCTGTATTTCATAACCACTTTCATGCTTTAGATAAATTCTACATGATTCTTCCATCATTTAATTAAGATTGCACAGCTTTTTTGGAACATCTTACAAAACATGGAACTGACATAATATTGTCAGGTATTATGATTATGGTGTGCTTTATCACCCATTTTCTTTCATTTCACTTAATAAATTAAAAGTTATTTATAGACCATATCTGATATTCACATTCATATTTATACTTGATAAATGATTAAATGAATATTAGGATTAAATTGTCTACACATGAATTTTTGAGAAAATTATATCTCTACATATGTGCTTTTAACTAAATTCTATTATGCAAACTCTCACGGGTTTGGCATAAGAAGCCAAAAATCTTTCCTGCATCAAAGTGCTCTAAAATTATTTTTATTTGTTGTTTGTTGAATTTTGAATAATGAATATTAGATTTAATGCACTCTTGGCAATTCTTTGGAATGAACATAAACTACTCTATAGTATTATTC